TTTTTTTTTTTTTTTTTTTTTTTGTCGCATCACTCTTAACACCAGAATTTTTCTAAAATTTGAATAAGAATTTGTTGAGCTCTTATGCATGAAGAAAAAATTAGCGATTATCTTGACCTTTTCCCTTTCATAGAACATTTGGTAATTAATACTTTCTCAGTGCTGGTGGTTATTTTGTTTTTGAAATCTGGGTCTTGGACACAATTGAGAGCTAGTTCCTTATTTTTCTTATTTCAGGTCATTGAGTATTATCACTAGGGTCACCCCTAGTTTAAAAGAACACACAAAAAACTCAGTACTCCGGAGTTGGACATTTAGAGCCTCTAAATTACCTCAAGTAATAGCAATTCTTGAAGTAGTTTGAAAGGAGCAAAGGCACAAAGGTAGATGGGGTTCAGTACTCTTCATATGTTCTAGGAGGTGGTGTAGTTTAGTACAAAAGCACCCTGCACTGGAGTTCTTACTTAGACTTGGGTTAGTGCCTGTTCAGCGCCTGCCATTTTTTATTTTTATTTTATTTTATTTTTTAGAGAGAGGGAAACATTTTTGTTGTTCCACTTATACATTCATTGGTTGATTCTTGTAATGTGCCCTGACCAGGGATTGAACCCACAACCTTGGCATATTGGGACAACACTCTAATCAACTCAGCTACCCAGCTGGGCTTTCCCTTAGACTTTTGACATACAGTTTTGTTAAAGTGCATTCTAGCTTTAGATGCTCTAGAGAGCAAAACCTTTATTTAGAATCAGAACTGCTTGTTATTGGGTAGAGCTGTTGGGAGTATACTGTATAAGGGGGAAAGATGGGGAGTTCATTATTATTAGCTACAAAGGAGGATACTAAGTGACCTGACCCAGTCAGCAGAGTTGGCCTGAATATTTGGCAGCTACTCTTTGTTCTGTGTTCATGCCAGGAACAGTTAACTGTTTGCCTTTTGAGTGGACTGGTGATTCTTAGTGAGTTCATTGACTGAATAAGCTGATCATGGTAATAATTAACCCTGGGCTCCTTGTGGCTTCATCCTTTACCTGTGCCTTTACCCTGTACATAAATGCTTGTATGATTACCATTTCAAACAAGACATGTTTAATGATAAGTGGATTTCCTTTTAATTGGCCTGACTAGTACTTGGTATCTGTTGATGGTGGAGAAAACAGTTCTTTGATTTGGAGGGAAACAGAACAAATCCTTCCAGATTGGAAGTTAAATAAGGATTAGTTAAGTGTTGGGAGCATCAGTAACTTTATGTCTGCATCTAGTAATGTTACTTGACTAAGGTCTTTCTATGAAAGTCACCCAGGGTGCTAAATTGTCAATAACCAGAAGGTGTGTTACACATTTCATGAGTAGGAAAATCTCTTCCTTGAGTCAGGTGAGACCGGTATCTACTGTGAATCAGATCCACCTGAGTGCCTCAGAATTAGTTTCATCCTAAAAATCTCACACTTTCTGTCCACAAAACAAGGCTGTGAACATCCTTCCATTAGACCACCAGCAAGGGACATAGAAAATGAATTTTGTTACCTCCTTCACCTTGAATCTATCTCCTTTCTATCTGGTGCTTTTCTACCTTGCACTGAACATTAAAGCGAGTTTCCTGGCTTTGGAGAATCCTGTTTGGAAATGGGGGAGGCAGTGTTGATTTTGCTGGTGTTGCTATTCAGGCTGGCTTTTTTTTTTCTACTTTTCTGTGTTATAGAAAACTCAGATGAATATAAAAGGTGTTCAAATAGTATTAGAAATTGATATCTTTCATCTTGTCTTTCTGTGTGTCCATGCAGGTTTTGCAGACTTTGGGCACAGAAACTTACCGGCCGAGTTCTGCCTCGCAGTGTGTGGCTGGTATTGCTTGTGCAGAGATCCCAGTGAACCAGTGGCCAGAACTCATTCCTCAGCTGGTGGCCAATGTCACAAACCCTAACAGCACAGAGCACATGAAAGAGTCGACATTGGAAGCTATTGGTTACATTTGCCAAGATATCGTAAGTGCTGCCTCATGTTATCTAACATACGTGACTATAATTTCATTTAGTTGTTATGTGCATGGTATTGAGGATTATTTTTACTGTATCATAAAGAAAACCAAGCTACTGCAAAGTGTTTTGAAAGTAAGATTGCTGTATTTGTTAATTTAGACTCCTAAATTAACTTATCCTCACATTGTTAGTCATGCCCTAAAATTAAGAGGCTTGATGGTCAAAAACTCGAAGTGGAAATCCATGTGTTTGGAGAGACATACACTTTAGTCTTTTAAGGATATTCTTTATTTTGGAGCATCCATGATCTGATCCCTTTCTCAAGATCCTCAGTGTACCATGGATGCTTTGTTAGATTTTCATTGACTGTTTTATAGAATCAGTTTCCCAGCTCTTGTAATTGTTTTAGTCACTGGAGCCACAACACAGTATGTTAAATGCAGCCCTCCTAGGACTGTTGTGGCTGCTGAGATTACCACTCTTGGTGTCTGGGTGTTTTGGAGGTGGGG